TCCGTGAAGACCATCAGAAAAGCCTTGTATGATCAGACCGGGACACGATCAGCCCCAACTTGCGTCTCTGGAGATGTTTCCTCCAGGTACCAGCCCAGCCGATGCGGAGGGTACTGTAGGCCCAAACATCTGAGGAACAAGCTGTCCACCCCTGAGCTAATCTAGGTCCTCCGTGCCAACAAAAGTCCCTGGAAACTCAGCTTCCTTTGTGGTTTCCTGGAAAAACCAGAGCCCCCTTAGCGTCTCCCCCCATCTGGCATGGTCTTGGTGAGGGCTGAGTACGGGCCTCCCGTCTGGGGGTGGGAGCTGGCCGGATTTCCTGAGCTCAGCTCCTCAGCCTGCTTTCTCCCTGCCCGTGCACTGAGTGTCCACACAGACGGCCAGCAAGACACAAGTTCTGCAGCCACACAAATTATATGTGTTGGATATTTTGCACGAAGAATTGTGTCCTTTCCGTCCCTTGCACAATGCGACGGCCACCGTTGCTGAGCATTTGCGGACTCGATCTCAGCTTGAATTGCTTCCCGGACGGGGCTGTGGGCAGAAGTCCAGTGCGCACAGCACCTTCCTGTGCCTGGCCACGGTGCGCATTCACAGGTTATGCCCTGCCTCAGAGGAAACTCCTGGGGTGTGTGAATTGGAGGGGAGGGGAAAGACTGGCCGCTGCTACTTGTCCTGCTGCCATGAACCTCCTGGAACTGAATCTGTGATGAAGACCAAGACGGGAAACCGCAAACCAAGGGGCTTTCCTCATTAGGCACAAAATGGCTTAAAGATTGGTAGGAAATTCCCCCTTCCTGTGGGGCGGGTGAAAAATATCCACACGTTATCTGGTTCCAATCCCCCTGTGTCTGGAAGGGTGAGATGAGTGTGCGTTTCTTGTTTATCTTTCCTTCTCTGAGAAAATAAACCATCTGCCGCGTCTTATCGTATAAGAACAACTGGTGGGGTTTGCAGGCAGCTGGATGGACCCTCCTTCGCCAGATTCCAGCACACCCAGGACAGGGACGATGGGCAACTGCATTCCTTTGGTAAGTTGCTACTCAGCCGTCTCTGACTTGCAGCTTTGCTAGCAGGTGGCCAGGAAGTGCTCAAAAGTTCCGAAACGGTTTTGCCGAGTTTCTCCGGAGAGAAATGTCAGCCTGGACTGGGCGGGGAAGATTGTGTGCGTGTGTGTTTGGGGGCCCATGATCAGGCCATCTCCCCAGAGCCCCTCTTCCCGCAGTTCCCCAGTTGGTAAGCATAGAGCCCCCCATTCAGAATCCCTGGGGGTTTCAGGCTCGGGCGGGAAAAGCTGGGATGCCGCATAAGGTGGGCATTTCTTTTCGACACTGCCGTGCGCTGGATGATGGAGTGCTTTTAAATTGGGTTTTAAGTGGATATATTCCATGTCATGAGAGAGATGGAGGGAGAGGGAAATATTTCTTGCCAAAGCGGCTGGAAATAACAATATTTAGATAAACTAACAAGAAAACCCACACAAAGAGGCTGGGTGATCAATCTGGAAACAATGAAATATCAATAGAGAAAATGGGGCTGTTATACGACGCTGCTCAGGCAGCAAACGGCACCGCTCTTGACGAAGCCCTCCTTAATGTTGCGCAAGGAATTTGCTGAGATTTTGGAAGCGGCAAGGAGTGCTGCTGAGTGGTCTTTGGGGACGTATTTCCTCCCCGCTGCAGGATTGCAGCCGGGCAGTGGTGGGAGAAAGACTCTGCGGGCCCAGGAGACCCGGGCCCAAGAGGATCTCTGCTGTCCCATGTGGCAAAGCACCAGGCCGCCCTCTGGAGCAGCCCCAAGGGAATTTCCAGGCATCAGCCTGCCTGGTCATGGAGGGCGTTGAATGATGGGGCCCAACCGCAGTCTGCCCAGAGCAGGGCCTTCCAAGGGGCGGCCCCGTTCCTGTGGAACTCCCTGGAGGACAGGCAGACACCGACACTGGGTTGCTCTGGGTGCTTCTTGGAAACAGATCTATCTCAGGAGCCCTTCCCAGCCAGATGTTAATTGTTTTAAATTGAAATGATCTTTCTTGTATCTTTTTATTGGCAGTGTGGTACAGTGGTTAGGGTGTTAGACTGGAGACCTGGGAGATATGAGGTCTGGTCTCTACTCCGTCATGAAGCTTGCCAGGTGATTTTCGGTCAGTTGCTCATTCTTAGCCTTGCCTGCCTTGCAGGGTTGTTGTTGTGGAGACAGAAGAGAGAGGAGGAGTTGTAAGCTGAGTTGGGTTTCCTGCAAGAGGCAAAAAGTGGTATTGGTCTCCTTTTCAGAAATGTTTGAGAGGAGGAGGAGGAGAATATCGGTGTTATAAAGTTCTGGGTTGGTCTGGCTCTAGCAGTATTCAACTTGGCCTTCCAGTATTCAGCCAGACTGGAGGCTGGCCGAAGGCATGAGAGTGCCCGGATCTGGGTTCGAATCCCTCTCCCAGCCATGTCCACCAAATCCCACTCCCACCAAGCCTCCCAAGGGTTGTCCTGGGGATGAACAGGCCCACTGGGTTCCTTGCAGGGAAAAAGGTGGAGCGCCTGAGTGATCATGATAAACCAGGAATAGATGCCCCCTGTTAACCCTCCAAGAGAGGACCGTGCCCCCTAGAAGAGGACACTCAGCCGTGCAAAGTCTGATTTGCCCATCCTCTGAGCAAACCTGAGATCAAAACCGCCCACAAGCCAATCTGGGAGAAAGGGAAACAGGCAGAGCTGCCTATCCTGTAGCCAGATTTAATTTCTCCAGGACTCTGGCGACCCTCTTGACCAGGGAGACAGAGCTTCAGGTGGCTATTTTGATCTTCTGGGAGGCCTTGGCCAGGGATGGGTTGACGCCCCCTGAAGCCTGGGGCTGGATGAGTAGACCTCATCCTCCGCTCTGATAATTTTCAGTGCTGCTGTAGAAATTTTTACTGGAATGTTGTGCATTGCACGACTCTGTATTTTACTGATTTTACTGGCTCGTAATTTAGCAGTTTCACTGTCTTTAATTATGCCTTTCTTTGGGAGCCAGTGTGAGATCTTTTAATGCAAAAGATGGAATTTAAAATGTTTTCAATAAAGAAAAACTGCAAAAGAGGGAAAGGTAATAAGACATTTTGGAAGGCAAAGAAGGGAAAGAAGATGACCAATTAAAGTCTGAGAGTCCAAAAGTGAAGAGAGAGAGAGATGGGAGGAGAAAACAGGAAAGAAAGAGAGGGAGGAAGGAAGGAAGGGGTCCAGAAAGAGAAGGTCTAAAATAATGTTAGATAAAAGGAAAGGGAAACGGGGGAAAGAAAAGAAAAAGGCAGGACAGACAAAGGAAAGTCAAACAAAATGTAGGGCTGCAAATAATTTTATGGTGCCATCCTATGCAGAAATCTTGCGCTGTTTTCCCAGGAGATTGCCGAGTGCTTTAGAGAATTTTTTCTGACTAAACATGCCCAGGACTGCAACTTCTTGCCCAAATAGAAAGAAGGAAAAAAGAAGAAAGGGGGACGGGAGAAAACTAGGAAAGAAAGGGTGGAGAAAGATTCGGGAGCAGGAGAACAGAGACTGAGCGGCTGCATTTCGCTCATTTCGGGCTCCGGGCACAGATCAGATGTTTGTCTAAATAACCGCTGTGAGAAGTCTGGCTGAATGCAGGCATTGGCTCTTTTTCCAATTCAAGCCTGTGATCTTATCTAACCTTGGGGAAGCCGGTGAAAAATTTTTCCATCTCCTTTCACACGTAGAGAGATACCACGGCCACAGGAAAGAAGATGATTATATTTCTAAAAAATCCACCGATCACACATTTGGAGCAATCTGGTTCTCCGGGAAGGGGTGAATGGAGAAATCCGTTTTGCATCCACCGTCAGCACACAGAGCAAAATGTCAACAAATGAGAATTATGAGAGGTTTAATCTGTCTGGAAATGCCGGGCTCTTTTGGGGGCCCATAGCCCCTCTGGGAGAACCCCCTAAAGGGAACCCGAAGCTGGTGACCTTAAAGCAATTTTCTTGGTGGAAAGTGTGTGTGTGGGGGGGGTGTATACGTGAAACAAACCCATTCTAGCCCTTTTCATCACTCCGGATCTTCAAAAGCATCCCCTATGGACAGTGAAGGGAAGGAATGCACTCTGTACTTGCTCAGAAGCAACTTTTCCTGCTGCAACTGAGCCTCAATATTTTGAAAATGGTGCCCTGTTCAAGCTCCGGGAAGGATTAAACCAGGAATGCCATCTCTTTCAGCCTCTGAGGGTAGAATTCAATTCCAGGGTGCCGGGAAGGAACATTTTAGAGTGAGCCATGAGAAACGAAAGGCGGAGAAGCCGGAATTAGACACCGGCCAGCATGTTTTCTTTTCTTGATGGGTTTCTTTTATTTCTAAATTACCCTATAGCCAGAGGTCTCTGAGCAGCTCACAACAACAAACCAACTCCATAAAACGTAACATAAGGATATATTGCAACAGTTTTAAAAGTTTAAAGCTACTGTATAACTGAGAAGTAAAAGCCAAACTAAAATTTAGCACCAGTGCAAAGGTTAAAATAAAGAAAGGAGCAATCTAATGAGGCTGCCCAGAGAATTATGTGCATCTTGTGGGAAACGGAGGCAGAAGTCACCCAGGCCGGACTGTTTCTGCTCTGTAAATGACTTTGGATAGCCAATTCCGACTCTCTAAGTCTTTTACCCAGGGGCACAAGAAGAGGATGCTGAAGGAAAAAAAGAGGTGAAGTTGGCACACATCCCGACACCCTCAAAGTTATTGCTGAGGTCATTCTATTCTATTCTATTCTATTCTATTCTATTCTATTCTATTCTATTCAATGCCTATTTATTGGTGTGCCTTTCCACCAAGGTGACTGCGTACACAAATCGAAATCTAGGCATTTGCTCATTTGCTTGCCATGTAACAGACACCAGCTCAGTGTCACCCCTTGTCTCTTCCCAATTTTTACAAAGAAAGCTTGTATTTCTTTGCTTCTTTTTTCTTCTTAAAAGAACAACACATAACCCCTTCCTCTCCTCCCACAATTTTCACTCTTCTAATTGCATCTACATTCTCAGAGCTGTCATCTGGTCACCAGCACTCGTTTTGTCTATTTCTCGCCCTCCCTTTGGAGCAATTCAGCTGCTTTTCTTCTCCCCGTGTTAGGAACCTGCGATAAATATTCTGCCAACGCTCCCTAATTCAAGATGGCCACAGTTTTTAAGATGCTGTACTTCAGGTGCTGTGGTAAGGCAATTGAGGTATGCTGGAAAGGAAAATACTTCCCCGCGTTCATGAGGATGCAACTCCAGCCAAGCCAAGATTGGCAGCCATCCCAGGATAATCAGTGTGGTGCATTTCCACAGTTTCTTAATTGCAGATGAAATGGAATTGAGTCAAGACTTTTGTGCTGGGTAGATGTCATTGTTTGGATTACTTTTCTCTCCGGACTGGGAGATGGGTATTTAAGAAGGCAAAAGCAGTTTAATGTAAACAAGGCACATGAGTTGGGACAAAAATTCTGAACTTTGCATTTGCAAGGCATGGAGAAGCCCCGGCCGTCAAACCAAGCCTGCCCGAGGTCCCAGTCGGGACCGACTTGGGTTGCCATGTGGGACAGTCCCTGACCCAGAGGACAAGTATATGAATGACCAAATCAGCAACCAGGGCGGCCCGAGATCCTTCAAAAACTCCCCTTCTCCTCATTTTATTTATTTTTATTTATTTATTTTTCGATCTATATCCTGCCTTTTTCCTACAAAGGGCTCAAGGCAGCTTACATCATTCTCCTCCTCCATCTTGTCCCCACAACAACAACCCTGTGAGGTGGGTTGGGTTGAGAGTCTGTGACTGGCCCAAAGTCACCCAGTTGGCTCCATGGCCGAGCGGGGACTCAAACCCGAATCGCCTGAGTCCCAGTCCCATGCTCTTAACCACTGCGCCACACTGGCTCTCTATTTTGCAGCAGAATCCTCCAGGAAACAAGTACAAAACTCTAAATTTTAGTGACTATAAATTTTTGAGGCAACAGTATACAAAGATGCATGATATTAAAACTCCTTGAACAAATCTGTGGATGTAAAGGAAAAATGCACATCTTCAGAGTGATGCTGACCCACCTTCGTGGAAACCTTTAAAACATGCCCCAAGTGTGGGGAGAGCTAAGACTAGAGGGAAGCTTCAAATTGAGATGAAGCAACATTAAAATAGGAAAAATGCATTAAATGAAAGCCAGAATGAATATTTTGCAAAGATGGAGAGGTTCCTGTGAGTTAAGGCCCAAGATTTTGTAAGCCACGCTGAGACGCTTTTCCATATAGGGCGGGGTATGAGTATTTTAAATAGATTAATAAAGTTGGCCTGTAGAATGTGGGGCTGCCCGTCACCCACAAATCGAGTCTTTCACACGGACGTCCACATGGGAACACCAGTCTCTATTTGGCCAAAAACCAGTGAGGTCAGTGTGCCGCATCCGTGCCCCATGTAAGATTTTTTCCAGCTATTCCCAGCGCTCCGACTCTGGGTTGCCCCTCTTCCACCGGATTCTCTCAGCCTCTGAGCTTCCGCTTTCTCCAGGGCTGCCTGACACATAATAAACACAACTCCCAGACAATATACTTGTTTAAGAAAAGGCTAAGGTGAGAAATAAATTTCCATTAATTCAGCGCAGCAACCTGACAAGGGAGGCATAAAGTTATCAAAGCAAATGCGAAGGAAGGAACTTAATTCACATGCTGGTTGAGTGTGTCCTTCCAGTGACTTCTTTTGGGGCTAAATAGATTTACTGCTTCTTGAGATCTTAAATATTCAGGCACACAGAAGCAGTCAAATACCCTCCTACACCTTTCCCACATCCCAAGGAATGGAGAATCGTTGCTCCATCAAGAAGCGCCCAATTAGGGGTTTACACATGCGGCGTTCCCGGTAGCCACTTCGCCACCCTGAATGCAAACAGTACAGTTCTTGGGAAGTTCCAGAAATTTCCCAGACTTGCAAGCAAACCTATGGGCTATGTTGCACTTCTACAATGTCTGTTTGCACATGTTTGCGCATGTTTATGCTTCATCCTCTGGGGAAAACACACAATCTTTGTTGGAAGAATTAAACAGTTTTAACAATTGGAGAACCTCAATAAACTTGATGTCCTATTCATCCATCTCTGTGCCAAATCTGTGCAGAAAATACTTTTCTGCCAAGGGCTGTGCCCCTTTCTCTTTCTGCCAACCTTTTTTGGCGTTCGGCCTAGTTCTCACTCGGCCATCAAGCTTCCTGGGTAACTTGGGACCTGTTTGAGGCCCAGACTCTCAGTCTGACCTACCTCACAGGGTTGTTGTTGTTGTTATTGTGAGGATGAAATGGAAAAGAGCTTTCTAAGTTGCTCTGGATTCTTAGCAAGAGGCACAATGCAATTCAAACTCATAAACATCAGAGCCTCTTCCAGTTCCAAAGATGCAACATTTGTACAGGAAAGTTTTGACATCCTGAACTTAGCATGGATGAAATGGCTTCCTATCAGGGGAACCATAAATAAATAAAAATAAATAGTATAACTGTTCCCTGTCTCAAAGAGTTTGGGGATACCAAATGCTTCCCTCTCTCAAGTGGGAATGACAAGAAAGGGGTTAAATTGAAACTTACACGGAGATAAATTTGCGGTGCTACCTTTCCAGTCCAGGCAATGGACGTCTCCTTCCAAATGCAATTACTTTGGGAGAATATGAGAAGCAAAAATGGATACAGTGCTTCCCATGAACAGCCAATAAATCCACCCTAGGGAGGTTTATATCTTTTCCTCCCGATCTTTCAGACACAAATTGACCCCAAATATTTATCAGTCTTGGGACTGGAGAAACAAGACTGGAAAAACAAGAGCCTTTAGATTAGGGATTTGCACACAGTAAAAAAGAAAATTATCTCGACACACATGGAGAATATTCATGGTTTATTTGCTTAGAAACTCACTTCAGTTAGGGAAGTCAGAGAGATCTGCAAGAAAATGAATTTGGATATAACTAAGAATCCAGCCCACAAGTTCCATTGCAGATCGGTTCTTCCTGAGCCGTGTGGATTCTGTGGATCTTTATTCATGGTACACCATTGTATGCAAATTTAGCCCTGGAAAAATGCATACAATAAAAATGCTAACCCAAAAGGCACATGTCCCTCATAGCCTAAGGAATAAAAATGCACTTTTTTGAGGATGTGCATATTTGGAGAGGGATCTTTGCATCTGAAAAGATGCATTTGTACAACCCCATATTTGCACAGAAGTGTACAAACGGATTTGTGCAAAATGCCATTCTGTCACGGAGCAAACAGGAGCACTAAAGGCACCACAGACAAAATGGATTTCACCGCATCCCCGACTTCCGTGCATCTCAAGATGGCATCCCTAAAGTCCTTGGGTGGTTCCCCATCAAAACACCGCCCAGACCTGCTGCAGAAAATCAGGACCAGTTGGATCAAAAAATGCATGCTCTTTTTCTTGATTTTAGTGTGGGCAGTTTGTTTCTGTTGTCTTATTTCTCCTTCTCGCACATTTCTGTTTTTATTGTGGTTGCGTCCGGCCTTCAGCCCTTCTGCCACATGACTGCTGTATTCTTCAACGATGGAAGGTATTTGCTTCATCCAATCCACCCCTCTCATTTGATCTACTTCCATCGCCATCATCTTCCACTGCTTCTTTCGCTCCATTTCAATCTTCATTGTCACCCATCTGCTTTATTTAGGTGTCTCATTTTGCCAACCTTGACCTTTGAGTGGACTTAATGCGGAGCTGAATACACTGCTTGGAAGCCACGCTGAAAACATGCGAAGTCATAATTCTTTCTATTACCTACAGAATCCTTGAAGGAACTTGTCATGGGACTTCCAAAATTAGTATTACTTCCAAATCGTGAGAGGAAGTAGTTCCCCTATACACCATACTAGTCAGACCTCATACTTTAAAGCCCTCAACGGCTTGGGCCCTGGGTATCTAAAGGAATACTTGTGTCCATATACGCCCGCCTGCCCCTTGAGATCTGCGGAAGAGGCCCTTCTCCGGGAACCCTCCGTGAAGGAAATTAGGAGGGTGAGTACCCGGAGGAGGGCCTTCTCTGCGGTGGCGCCCCACCTATGGAATGCGCTCCCCAGAGAGGTCCGCCTGGCGCCGTCATTGTTTGTTTTTCGGCGCCAGGCGAAGACCTTTTTATTTAAAACTTATTTTAAGTGTTAATTTATTATGTAGGGTTTTTTTTTTATTTTTAAGCCAAGATGCACCGGGTTTTAATATTTTTATTGTATAATTTTTATATGCTTTTGTTTGTTTTTGTTGTGAGCTGCCCCAAGGCTTTGTTGCGATGGGGGCAGCATAGAAATGTTTTCAATAATAAATAAATAAATAAATAAATACTATGTCCAGTTCTGGGCACCAAGATTTAAGAAAGATGCTAAAAACATTAGAAAGGGTCCAGAGGAGGGCAATCAAAATGATCCAGGGTGTGGAAAAGATGCCGTGTGAGGAGAAACTGGGTATGTTAGGCCCTGAGAAGAGAAAACTAAAGGGGGACATGATATCCCCCTGTAAGTACCTCAAAGGCTGTCACAAAGAGGAAGGTCAAGATCTCTTCTTGCTGATAGCAGAGTGTAGGACATGGGATAATCCATCCAACTTGTAACAACCCAGATTCAGGCGAGATATCAGGAAAAGCTTCCTCACTGTCAGAGCAATATGGCAGTGGGACCAGCTGCCCGGAGAGGTGGGGGGCTCTCCCACACTGGAGGCATTCAGAAAGAAACCAGGCGGCCCTCTGAGTGGGATGGTGTGAACTGGTGTCCTGCAACAGCTGGGGGTGGACCTGATGGCCTTCATGGCCCCTTCCAACTCTGCAATTCCATGATTCTATCTTGCATGCAAGAGGTTACTGCCATTTAGAGATAGCAACAAACGTTTGTGTTAAACTAACACTCTTTATACATTTTGGCATGCCTTCTTTATCCAAATTGCTTAACAGTTTAACTACAGATGTGACTTCGCTTTTACTTCTTTTGGGTGAAGGATACTTACCTTCTTGTTTTGAAACACAAGGAATATTTACGTTGTTGCTTTGGAAAACAAGGAAACTGATCTTTCTCGACACTTGTACAATTCTTTAACATTTACTCCCTTGAATCTCAAATTCTCTTGTTAACCTTTTCCTCGACAAGTTAATGCCCTGTGTTCTTGACACGGCAGGAATTTATGAAAGCAACCATTTTCTAAAAGTGGATGTTTTGCTTCTGTTATTATGTGTAAGGATCTTCTTTTCAAACCTGTCTCTGCTTCCATTTGCCGGCTGGAACATGCACGAGAAGTTTGATTTACTAGGACACACACCCTGGGTTTTTTAATGCAAGAATAGAAAAGAGTCCTATGGTTTTGTAACTCAGCTGCAGACATTTCGGCTTGTAGATCTTTGAAAGCGTTAGCCATTTGTTTTCTATAATCTTGACAAGTGCTGATAAGTCGGAAATGGCTCTTTTCGGTTCAGATACTCCAAGCCTGGGAAGGTGGGCTCTCTTAAGCCAATGAAATTTACCTCTTCTTCTTACCAACAGACTTTTAGTGTCCCTCTTCCTTTGCTAGGAATAACCCATATTTCTAACCTCAAGTGAGTGGGTATCTGAGTGGATTTTTAGTACCCCACTTCCTCCAATAGACAGAACCCATATTTCTAATATTGCATGAGTGGATATATTGCGCATATCTGGAATAACACGGGACAGGGCTGCATCAGCTTCCCGAATTAAGAGGAAGGGTTTTATATGTCATCATATTGAAAGAAAAGGCTTGATATTAAGATACAGCGATTTCGATATCTAATTCTGTGTACATTTGACCCCAGAGGAAAGCCATATCATGGACAAATTGTACTTTAGTTGATGAGATGTTGATATCTCGGGCTTCAAAGAACCGATATGTACCAGAACTGCATGCCATTTCAACTTTGTACACTCAATTCCTCCTTTTAAACTGTCCTTACAACCATTTCTCCAAAATCTCAAACCTTATAAGTGTTCAAGAGAACCAGTGTGGCGTCGTGGTGAAGAGCATGGGACTGGGACTCAGGCGATCCAGGTTCGAGTCCCCACTCAGCCATGGAGCCAACGGGGTGACTTCGGGCCAGCCCCAGACTCTCAGCCCGGCCTACCTCACAGGGCTGTTGTTGTGGGGATCAGATTGAAAGGAAGAGGGGAATGATGTAAGCCACTCTGAGTTCTTTAAAAAGAAAAAATGGCAGGTTAGAGAGCTAATAAATCAATAAATATCATGCCCAGGGAGGTGAAATATTTCTCAATTACTCTCTGCACCATCTGCTTGGCTGCATATGGAAGCATTCCAGTTCCATTTGTCTGCCAAATTCCCAGGCGTCTGATTCTGCCTTAGGATATAATGACATTGCTTTCAAGGTAAAAGCCCCACAGAATTCCTATAGGCAAAGACTTGAATCTGAAAGCATGTCTATATAGAAGTAAGGAAGGTTTATTCAGATGGACTTTGTACAAAGGAGAAAGGACCTTACAGGACCAAACAACTTGGTATTTAACCAGAAATACTGTTAACTGAGCTCACACGCCATTTCTGGCTACAGATGTACAACACAGAGGTGCTGAGACTGCACTTTAACGTCACCGGGCAAAGAAAAGCCACTGAAACCAAACCCCCCCCCCTCTTTTCCTTATCTCAGCCTCAGTTCAGCCAGTTTGTCTCTGTTATTTCTGCTTTTTGCAGATCTTGTGCTTTAGTACGACCGTGGCAAGCCTTCAAGCCACGTGTTTCCGCATTCTTCAGTATGAACACGAGTTGCTTCCTCGCTTTTAGCTTTAACAAATCGGCTTCATCTTGCAACATTTCAATATTTGGCTGCTGAAATGGGTTGGGCCCTGTTTGCTTTCCCTCCTTCTCCCGCACCCGCCTGCACGGCAGAGGTCTCTCTCACAACCTCGGGGATGTAGCTGGGGCTGCTTTTCCATGCAGGCTCTGGGCAGAGAACGGGATCTGCTCTTGGACTGCTTTTCTGATGTCGGATCTGGAGGTCTGATGCATTCTGCAGCCTGCAAATGGGGGCAGGGTCCTCCCCTTAATGCAGGTGGAAAATCGGGCCAGGCAGTCACCTCTTTGCCATGTCTTCTCTCTTTCTAGGCCCAGAACCTCCACCAAAGCCTGAACTTCTCGGAGTTGGAGGACTTCTTTGCCAGTACCATGCCAGATTATGATCTCAGAAATTTCTCGGACTATGAGGGCCTCTTTCCACAACCGTGTGTGTTCACGTACTGCTCCACCTTTGGCAGCAAAATCCCACCGTTCCTGGGGGTAGCCAGCGCCCTGGGCATCGTCTGCAACATGGTCCTTCTCACCGCCTTGGCCCGATGGTCCCTGCTTCGGGGCCAACACCGTGCAGACCAAGCCAAGCTGATCCTCATGGCAGCCATGGCCATCCTCTTTGCGGCCACCTTGCCATTTTTCACCGTGGAGGTCAGCCAAGGTTGGGTCTTCGGCGACACCTCCTGCCAGGTGGCCCGCGCGCTGAAATTCGGGTCCATCCTCACGCAGGGGCTGCTGGTGGCCGGCTCCTCGTGGAGAACGCTGAGCGGCCGCCTCAACTGCCTCGTCCTTCTCACTCTCTTGGGGCTCGGGCTTCTGTGTGCCGTGCCGGCCGCCCTCAGCAGCAGCGTGGGGGAAGTCTGCATGGCCAGCCAGATCGGTGAGATGCGCCCCTGGTTCCTGACCCACATCCTACTCTGCCTGGCTGTTTTTGACATCCTCCCAGGCGCCATGGCCGTGGCCATCCTGGCTCTGAAGTGGCAGAAAGATAGCTTGCACTTCGACAGAACCTGGCTCTTCTACCTCTTCTGGGCCCCGTATGGACTGGTGCTTATCCCAGACATGCTGGTTCGGGAGCAGCTGGTTTCCACGACCTGCCAGTTCCAGGAGGATCTCAACTATTTCCTGGGGCTGCTGGAGGGGCTGGGCATCCTCCACTGCTGGCTGTACCCCCTGATTATCCTGGGGCTCAGTGTATGTTGCCGGAGGCCCATCAAAGAGGATACATGCTAAACTGAGCCAGCCTTTCCCATGCTCAGCTCATGGTTCCTGCAGGAACTCGCATCTTTTTGTATGGACTCTTCTTTCTACTCTTGGACACAGAATATTATCATAACAGCCTGGGACAGCTCGGCTCTGTGCCCTGACTACATTTCCAGATAGCTTTGCCGGCCACCTACTCTTTTCTCCTTTTGGCGCCGGGCAAAACCCTTTTTATTTACCAGGCATTTAATAGTTAAATGTGTCATTTTAATATGCTTTCATCAGATGCCTCTAGTGTGCTAATTTGATCACTTGTCTCGGAGTTGTTTTATGACCCTCGTTTATGGCCTAATTATTGTTTGGATTGTGACATTGCTATTCTTGTTTGTATGTTCTACCTTTGTAAACGGCTCCGAGAGCCTCTTGGCTATTGGGCAGGATAACAATGCAATAAGTAAATAAATTGGGCATGGGAGAAGACGAGTATCGTAACCGGTGTGTGGATGGCCGTGCTTTTCCTGAACTGCAGCCTTCTGACATCGCTTGCCTTAGATCTGAATGAGAAGCAGAAGTAGTATTTTCTGTTAATGACTGCTGCAAAGCACCTCTTTTGTATCACGAAGCCCGTCCGGCTGACCAGTTTCGACAAATAAAGACCGCAGTGTGAAAAGGCTTTTGTGCTGATCTGCTTGGAAGGAGAGGGGCGGGAGAAAGTCCAGCCCCTGACAGTGGGCTGCGGGGACTGATATTCATCTGTGCTAGGGGTAAAACTGTGCTGAAGTCATCGGCATTCAAGCCATCCACATTCTTCTGCCAGAAATTTTGTTACGACGGCGTGGCACAAGCAGGACGGCAGCACTCTTGCATCCATGTTCCCCAGCACTTGGACCCATGGGCGGATGCTGCAGCCACTGGAGGGGGCCCGGCCGACCCACCAGCCAGAGCTGCTCCTCGCACCTTGTTTTGCGCCTTCTTACAAAGCTGCCTCATGCCACCGTGGACTCCAGGCCGTCATCGTCCAAGTCGTGCTCTGTCACATTGGAAAGGGTCCAGCAGAGGGCAACAAAAATGATCCAGGTTTTTGGAACGCTGCCCTGTGAGGAGAGATGGAGAGAAATGGGTATGTTTGGCCTTGAGAAGAGAAGACTGAGATGTACATGATATCCCTCCATAAGTACCTCAAAGGCTGTCACAAAGAGGAAGGCCAAGATCTCTTCTTGCTGATGCCAGAGCGTAGGACATGGGATAATCAAGTGAAGTTGGGATAATCAAGTGAAGTTGCAACAATCCAGATTCAGGCTGGACATCAGGAAAAGCTTCCCCACTGTCAGAGCAATGGGGCAGGGGAACCAGCTGCCTGGAGAGATGGGGGGCTCTCCCACACAGGAGACATCCAAAAAGAAACTGGGCAGCCATCTGAGTGGGATGGTACAACTTGGTGTCCTGCAACAGCAGGGGGTTGGACTTGATGGCCTTTATGGCCCCTTCCAACTCTACTATTTTATGATCCTGTGATCTGAGATGCAAAGGACAAAACAGGCATTAGTCACCTCCTGGCTCCTCTGCCAGGATGCTGTGATTCGAAGCTTCCCTCGGGTTCGTTAGGGTCATGGACGGAGCACGCGGGCTGCCCGGAGGCAGGAAAATCGACTCCAAAGCAGAATTGTGTCTTCCTGGAGAGGTTCCAGGGGAAATGCACTCCTGGCTCCTTCCCCTGCCGATGGGCCGTTTGACTCAAGGCTCTCCCGGAAAGCACCCCAGGGGGCTCTTCTGTTTACCAGCGGGGAGCAGAACGGCTCACACCATTATGGCCACCAGTCAGACCGCGAGAGGCCAGCCTCTCACATTCCAGCCTCTTCCCAGCACTGGAACAGGAATTTGCGCATCTCAGGTGTTGCCACAGCTGGGCTGGGACCGAACACGGGAGGCAAAGAACGGGATGGAAGAAGCGCGCTTGTGATTCCAGGCACGTGTGTTGCTTTCTCCCTCCTCGGCCTGGCCCTGAGTGAAAGGGGAGGACGGGAAAACCATGATAAGGCAAAATCCACTTGGTCATCTGTCAGGTAGATCGTGGCAAAAAACCACAGGTAACCACGCAGGTCGCGTGCTCGGTTGTGAGAATGCAGCCTCTGAGGAGGGAATCCCTTCCTCTTGGCCAGAAACTTATTTCAAGTCCCAGACAGAGCAACACTCGCAGAAAGACATTTGATTGGTGCTTCCAGTGCATCGCCTTCCAGAAGAACAGCCAAAACCGCTCTCTCTCCAAACCCCAAAGATTGATTTGCCCTGGCTAAAACGTTTTATGTGCCTGATGACTAATCCCACTGTATTAAAATAAGACTCACTGCCCGGAATGGTAGCTCTGAAGCACCTCATTCCTGCGCGCCTTTATTAACCGTTGCTCAGTGGACTTAAATACACATCAAATTAAAATGTGCATATTAAAATCAGGGGCAAACAGCATTTCTGGCTGGCTGGTGCCATTCTTGAATTCACACTGCCCTCTGCTGCCTGGGAGCTGTACTGCAGGGTCCCTAGATAGCCCAGCCTGACTCGATCCACCCTGTAGGCCTCGGTTAATCTGCGAGAACTCTGGGAATGTGTTGATGCATTTTAAATATAAACACAAAAGGCTTTCTCGGGATCTCTTCACAGTGGCAGCTTAGTTGATCTATGTTAGATACTGAGTGGAATCAGAAGTGGGGAAGTAAAAGAATACTTTTTAAAACAATACAGCATCTAACACCTCTTTTGAGAAGAGAGGACAACAGCAGCGACAAAAGAGTGGCGTTCCAGTGGAAGGAGAGCCAACCTTCCCCAAGGAGAACATTCCCACTATGGAAGTGGAGCTCCGATGTTTTCGCATTCCCGCTAGGAATTGGCCAAAGCAATATTCAGAATTGTTCGGATACTCAAAACATCATCTTGCTGCTTCTTGCATGCTGGGTGTCTGTTTGTGTTTGTGATCCCTGCTCGTTGTGCACATGGGAAATTTACACGGAGTGAGAGAGCGGTGATGGTAGGGGCGATTCGTGTAAATCTCCCACCATCTGCACACGTGCCCCTTCATGAACGAACATGCCAATTCTAAAGCCCCTTGGACTAAAGCAGAGGTGTTTCAATCTGCAGAGAACATTTCTGGGAATTCGGGAATGCGTGCAAATCGAACTGGGTACTGGGAACAAGGCGAATGACCCCCCCCCCCGAGTTTGTTGATTTGCAAACGTGTGTGAGAGACGGGTGGCCAAGCGCATATACAAAGTGTTGAATTCGGCTCTTTTGCAACCAAAAATGACGTTTTCACACATCCCTCTCACTGGCCATGTTTTCGCTAGTGCTGGGCCTGCAAGGATTCTAGGGGGACAGTCAGGTGATCTTGAATGTGCTGGGTTCAGAGTCCCCTTATTCTCCCAGGAAGCTCCTCACTTATGCCAGGACGGCGCTGGCATCGCTATTTCCAAAATGGGGCAGGACGGCTGCTGGAAGAAGGGTGTGAGGTCCTGGGGCAGCATCAGGGCCCCTCTTCTGGCCAGAGACCAGAACAGCAGAAGCGGGCTGTGTAAGAGCCAGCTCTTCCCTTCAGATGCTGCCTTAGGAATGAAGGTTTTTCGGTGCTGTTGGAGTCTCCAGGCCTTCTGGAACCTGTTTCTGGAAACTCTGCCCATCCTGCCTCCTTGCTCCTGCCTCTTCCTCCTTCCAGCTTCCCGGTCTTCACCTGCTCCACCTACCTGCTTCTCCTCAGCTTCTCTCTCTGGCTTTTGATTCCTGATTGGCTTTGGCTACTCTTTCCTACTGGACCGACTTACCTGTACTTGTTACCTGCCTTTGCCTCTGGACCCCGTGACTGTGATGTGGAGAGTTCTCATCTCTCCGTGCTGTAAATGAGGGTTGCCCATATACAGCTGGCACCTAAAATGGAACCTGAAGTACGAGGTACAACAGACACCGACTCCCAGCCTAACCTACCTTGCAGGGTTGCGATGAGGATAAAGTACAGAAAAGGCAGACTATGTACAGCACTGAGGGAATCTTGGTGGAAACAGCAGGACAGAAATGTAAGCGACAACAAACTGAAGCTGCTGGCGGAAAGTCGTGCGTGGAGCAAAACTGAACAGTGAAGTTCTAGATTCTCTCTGCTCTGGATTTCCACAGCTAAAGGAAGCGGTTCCAGTTGCGTCCGTGGAGTTCATCTAAACTGAGAGGTTAGGAGTTTGATCCGGAGGAGAAAGGGACAAGATTGGTGAGTGCCATTTATCTCTCCGGAGGGAAGTGGGGAGGGTGCGTGGAAGGCCGGGGTGGGATTCCCTCGCTCGCCGGTGTTCTCCTGGCAGGCGGAAGAAATGTAATGTCACTGGGCTGAGCTGGGGGGGATCATGGACAACGCTGTCACTTCTTCTTCCCCGGGTCTGGAGCTGCGTTCGATGACAGTTTGCTGAAAAGTGCGGGCCATGAGGGGTCTCCGATCTGGCGGGTGACACGCTTCCTCTTTTAATAACTTGTCAGCTGCCCTGCCAGCCGTGAAATAGCAAACGGGGTGCGATGTGCTGGTGAAAAGATGGGAGGACAAGGGAAGGAAGGAAGGAGGAACAAGGGGAAATCTCTGTGCGCGTGGCAGGAGAGGACCAAGATGCCAGAGCCGCCGCAAAGGTGTCTTTCATCTTGTGATTGATGGTGTTCATATAGCACTGCGTCACTAAGCAGATTCTGGAGTGGCGATCAGGGCGAAGGTAAAATACAGCAAAGAATAAAAATAGGAATGGAAAACGAGGAATCAGCCAGGAAGGCTTCCTCCAACAGCGATGTCTCTAGTCGGTGCCGGAAATGCCATGGACTTGGTGCCTGGCAGATCTCCACAGAGACGGGGCCACCACAGCGAAGGCCCTTCTTCCGGGGAGCTCCAGCCTGGCCAGGGGTTCATGTGGGGTCACCAGGACCTCCAACCCCAACTTCTGGGATCAAGGCACAGCTTTTGACCTCGAAGGGGTTTTCTGAACAATCTTATCGGACTTCAGGGCTCCTAGGTTTGCCCTCATCCTTGGAAGAAACATTGTATTTAACTATGACATTAATAGTGTTAATACAAATATTATAGATAGTATATATAGAATATTATAATACTAACACTGATATTTCACTATTGGTAAGAATTGATATATTTAGGTATTAGTGTTCATCTGTATTGAGTATTAACAATGAGTATTAATAATAATTCATCTTTATTAGCATATCAATCAGTGATAATTATTAGAATATTATGATTCATTAATAATCATTATTCAGCATTCTTAATTAGCATTCAGATTATTCCTTAGCATCTTTATTAGTATTCATTCTTAATTATCAGTATTGTTATCCTTATTAATGAGCATTTCCATTTATTATCAGCAGCAGCAAGAACTGGGCCTGTTCATTTAATTTCATGTATTTTGCTTCTGTGCTGCCCCATAGCAGAGTTAAAAACCTGAAAATTACATTATAAAATGCATTTTGTAATACATAAAGAGGCACACAACTTAAAACTGTTTTAATATTTCAGGACTTCAAAAACATGCGGGGAGGGAGGGCGTCAGTTTGTGGGTCTGGGAGGAATCCCCGAAGGCACCCCCCCCCCCAAGAAATATTTTGTGTATTCTCCTTGGTGCTTTTGCAAATCTTGAGAATGCCCCAAAGCTGCTGGTCCTTCCCTTTTGTGCCTGGGTGCATGACAGCAGCCAAAAACTGTTCACAGCCAAAAACATCCGAAATAAAAACATAAAAACCTAGAAACAGAGTGAGTCAGAAGGGGTCTCCCAGGCCATCTAGTCTGACCCCCGGCTCCAGCCGCAGCCTCCAGATCTAGAAGCTCCATCTTGGCTGAAAGCAGTAACACTTCCTGAAATATTATAAGCAATGAATATGAAATCTGATGGGAATGGCTTTCTTGAGGTCCCAAGCTGCCACATTTCCGGGCCTTTAGGTGGGTTGTCTCTTCTGCTTTTGCTTCCTGATGCGAAGGGTTCTCACAGGCCTTTGGTGCCCAGTTTTGCAAGACTGCTCGGAAAGGCGTGTGCAAGCCCAGGGCATCGCTCCCCGTCACAAAACTCCCCGTGCAAGCATCTTCTACCAGCAAGCTTTTTTTCCGAGCCAAGGGTCGTTATCGCAATGCACAATCCATCCCGTACCGTCACAGAGGTGATTAGAGCTCCCCAAGGAGGCATCAGCAGGAAATGGGAACCATACGCTCCCCGTGCTTCCAAATTAGAGAGGAAAGTTAATAACGTCGGAGGAGCTCCCGGAGCTATTAGTGGGGAAATACAGCAACTTAAATCAAGCACCGGAGAGCTCTAAATAGCCCTTGTTTATTCCGATCAGGGGCTTGCATGGAAGACCCTCATCGGCAAGGTTCATGTAGATGGTGAGTGGCGTTAGGCAGGCCGAAACGAGCGTGGAAGGAAAGCGGGAGGTGATTATCAATAAAAGAAAATGGAACTCGGCGGAGGATCCGGCGTGGGGCATTTTGGAGGCAAAAATGATATGTAATAAGGACTACCATCTTGTCCATGGTGCTGTTATTTTATTAGCCACGCTCAGTTGTCTGCCCCACTTTCCTGCCGTCCGTGTTTGCTGAATCTTTCCTCTGCTTGTTGCATTTTTAATTGGTCGTAGTTCTTTGCTTTGTTTTTTAAGAAAAGCTTTCTGCACAAACCTGTGTTTACTTAGAGGGAAATTTGGGGCTCTTTGGAGCCTAATCTTGCGGTCCTCAAAGCAATGAACCTTTCGCAGGCCTGATGCATTTCCCCCCTGCGGCCAAGTATTTGGTACTTTGCTGAGTTTTGTGCAGTCGCTTTTCCCATCCTGAAGGGCCCAAATGATCCTTCTCGGGCTCTGTGGCTGCCAGTAAGAACTTTCAGTGAAACGATGTGCTGCTGGCATTTTAGCAAGACTCAAGAAAAGCAAGGTTCTAGTCCTCATGGCTCTGAGTCAGGAGCTGGTTTAAATAGGAACACAGGGAGAAGCTTTCAGTGTGGTCACACCTGGGGTTTCTCTGGCCCAGGCTGGTCCACACGGAGTGGCCGCAGTGGCTCTCCAGAGGCTCGGGAAGGCGTGCAAAGCTCGTTTCTGAATCCGCCCCATACAGGAAAGGGTTAAGGAGCAGCCTTCCTCCCCACGACGACTTCTGGAAATTGAGAAGGGTTAGCGCGCTGCAGAGAGAGACAGGGAGGCCTGTTTTTTTCCAGCCATGCCGCTGTGGAGATAAATTTAGACGGAGGCCAGGAGTGGGTGTTTGCCCGGAGACAGCAGAGCTGGGCTTGTGCAGGTTGCTGCCCGCTTCTCCGTCCCACGACCTCGGCTGTTTCCTGCCCTTTCGTCCCACCTGCTTGAGATGACAAGTCCTACAGATGGAGCCAGTCTGGATTCCGCTCCTTGTCTTTGCCAGTCTATCTGCGCTCTCTCTCCAAGAAGGTCAGTAGCAAGGGAGCCGGCCGTCCCGTGCAAAAGTGCCCGGGGGCTCTGAGATCGTTTCCAGAGCTTTGCTTGTGTTGGGGCACTAAGCCCCAAAAGCCATTTTGGGCAATCGCTGGGAATCTCTGCAATGACTGGGGGAAGTGAGCATCTCTGAGCATGTACAGAGTGCATGTATTTTGTCACTGAGAAGAGGAGAACCCCCCCCACACACACACACATACACACACTTTAATCATACACATGTTCTCACTTTTGGGATTTCGAAGGAAGAGGCTGTAACCGCTCCAGGTTTCAAACCCAGTAATCTCCCATTAAGATATCAAATTCTGGTTATTAAGAGCGCCAGGAGAGTCAGAATTGCAGGATCAGGGCTAGAAGCAGGATTGCAATGGTGCAAATTTCAGGGTTGAAGGATCTGTTTTGTTTCCTTGCTAGAATCCCAAGAGATCCCCCAACCAAAGCTCAGAAAAACACCTAAGAAGTCCTAGGCCAGGAATTTGATCTGAGTCCGAGAACTAAACATAGCTGATGGTCCTCACACAGAAAAAAATCTCTCCTGCTTGCTTCCAAACTCTTCATTTTAGCTGCATAATTAAGGGTGGGGAAGGTCAGGTGAGTAGGTATAAGAAGTCAGAGAACTTTGTTGATCAGCCACAGGCCAGTGAAAGATTCAGCAGTGCATCCAGATTGACTTTCTGCCCTTTCTGGTTCATTTGTGAGAAGAATTTCCCCAGATTCCTAGAGTTCATTTGCAGGACAGAAAGAACTTGAGATGTCCAAGAAGCAAAATAGAAGTGCTAGAACTGAGCTGGCAGACGTGCCCCATGGGCATGTCCCTTCCCCTTTCCCCTTTTCTCTCCCCTTGTGTCCTTGCAGACTTGTCTCGGAAGACCTTCGTGTTCCGCAACCAGCCCAGTGAGGGCTACGTCCTCCTCAAACCGCTGTCCAAGGAGGCGCTGGGGAATTTCACGGTATGCCTGCGGTCCTACACAGACCTAACGCGGCCTTATGGGCTTTTCTCCTATGCCACCCCGTCGCAGGACAATGAGGTCCTCATCTTCAAACCCAAATCGGGAGAATACCGTGTGTATGTCGGTGGGGAATACCTCTCCTTCAAAGTCCCGGAGACCCCCTTCAGCTGGGAACACGTCTGCTTTGGGTGGGAATCGGACACCGGCATTGCTGAATTCTGGATGAACGGCAAACCTTGGCCGAGGAAGGGGCTGCAGAAGGGGTACGTGGTCAGTGCAGAGGCGTCCATCGTCCTGGGACAAGAGCAGGACAGTTACGGCGCCTCCTACGATTCCTACAACTCTTTCTCCGGAGAGCTGACCGATGTGTACATGTGGAACTTTCTCCTCTCGCCTCACAAGATGAGGTCTGCCTACCAAGACCTGCAGCTTCCCCAGAGCTCCCTGGATTGGCGGAACCTGCAGTACGAGATCAAAGGAGACGTGGTCATCAAGCCGAGGTTGAGATAACCCGAAGACGCGACCCTGTGAGATGCTGGCGGAGGGAAGTTGCTTCTCCGACCCCTGAATTCCAGGCCACCGGATGGAATTCCCAGAGAGGTGCCCCCTCATTGTTACTGTTTTGGCACGAGGAAAAGATGTATCTTTTCCCTGGATATCTTAATAGTTTATTTTAGTGGTCCTTTGGATTTCACCCTGACCCTATTGGCTTACACTTTTATTTAATTTTTAAGTGGCTCATTTAAAAGTTTTGGTGTAATGATTTTAATTTGTGGGTTGTGTTTCTTTATATTTTTGGATGGTTTGTTCCTGTTGTAGTATTACAGGTTTTGAAAACGTCGTGCTTTAATTGCTTGTAAGCTGATCAGAGAAGCCCAGTGTGGACTAATGTAGTGAGAAAGAATTTGAAATAATTAATAAATAAGTAAATGTATTATTTATTTATTTATTTATTTATTTATTTATTTATTTATTCGATTTATATCCTGCCTTTTTCCTACAAAGGGCTCAAGACAGCTTACATCAGTCTCCTCCTCCATCTCATCCCCACAACAACAACCCTGTGAGGTAGGTTGGGCTGAGAGTCTGTGACTGGCCCAAAGTCACCCAGTGGGCTCCATGGCTGAGCGGGGACTAGAACCCAGGTCGTCTGAGTCCCAGTCCCATGCTCTTAACCACTACACCACGCTGCCTCTCTATTAATGCCCAACCCTGAAAATATATCCCGCCTCCCAAAAGAGGACAAAGATGTGCAGCAGATCATCTGCATCAATTTTGCAGATGATCTAAATCTGGAATGGTACCAATTTTGAAAATATTGTAACTTCAGTAGAAAACTCCGGCCTTAGCCTAGTGTAGAAGATGCTGAATAACCGTTGCAAATAAGTGGATTAAAATGGCCTATTTAAATGTAATAGGGTAGTCACTGAAAAGTAAATTGCTTTTATGTTTCCAACAGAGATTCAAGGGGCTGGCTTTGACCCATAAAATCAAAGGGGAAGGGCTTTCTTGGTGGTGGCTCTCCTCTGGACCGCTCTCCCCTACAAGGTACGCCGGGCAGCCACGTTTTTCTCCTTTCAGCACTATGTCATGGTCCTCTTCAACTCTCAGCCATCTCGTAGCATACAATGAGGTTTTCCACCAAGCATGCACCGTTTCCTTGTCACCATTGCTTTAAAATAATTTTGGGACACAAAAGCCCCTCTCTGTCCCTACTTTTGTGCCTGTTTTCCTAATGTATTTTTAAAGGATTTGATCTTTATAACCCGCCTAAAGAGCTTCAGCTGTTGGGCAGTATAGAAGAGTAATAAATCAAATGAAACTTTCGCCAACCTCTAGCTGACCCTAACCCTGCCCACATTCAAGCATCCCTTGGAAAATAAGACTTATGATAATTAGGAGCTGGATGTCCCGGCAGTACTAAATTTTTTGCAAAGTGTCTCAGATTATCATCTGTTCTTCCTGCTCGTTTTCTTTTCATTTTTATCACTTTTCTAGCCCAGTGGTCTCCCGATGACCTTAGAGAGCACAGTTAAGTTTGGATATGCAAATTAGTCCTTCTTTTAAAGAAAGACTTGCAATAAAATATGACAAGCAACAATTTTCCTGCTTCTCCTCCTCCTCTTCCAAGATACTCAGTTTCATCCAACCCCATTGCCTGTCTCCTCTTTAAATGGGGTTGCTTTTGATGCTCCAAGCCCTTGGGGTGCTTGTGTGAAATTTAAAGCTTGCCCTAAAAACAAAGCTGGAATTCTTACCATTTCTCTGGGGCTGCCCCTCTTCTTGGCATCAGGGCTCACTTTGGGGAATTAGAAACAGAAGGAAAAATGCCCCCCACCCCATAGTTGTAGGGCGGTTTGTCAAGGGGTGCGGAGACCTTTCGAAGCAGTGCAAATGCTTCGAAATACAAGCTGGTCAGGAAGTGAGCAAGTGGGTGGAACCTGACGAAGGGGGTGCTGAACCTCCCACCCCACAGGGGGTCCTCAGTATTTTAGGATCTCGCCTTTTTCTTCAAAGAACCTGAAGGCAGCTTTAGATCCGTCTTCTCTGCCTTACTGTCCTCGAACCACAACCTTGCAAGGTATGTGAGACGGAGATCCTGCAGCCAGCCCGATTTCTGCAACTGCCTCCTGTTTGGGAGGTGAGATTTGGCTACGGAAATAAAACTCGGAGAGCTGAATTCATACAGAACATGCAGGGGACAGCGGGGGGGGGGGCTTTGGGGGCCCCCCCCCCCCACATCCGGAATTCAATCCGAATGTTTCTGGTGCCTCCAGGATTGAACTCCAGGGCAGTCAGAAGAGGCAATCAACTTTCTAGTCAAAAAGAAAGAAGAAACACAGCCTGCCGCTCCCAGCTGCAGCAACGCGAAGGGTTTGCGGGGGGGGGGGGTTTAAGCTTCCCTTGCAGGGGGAAGCAAATAATTTGGGGACAGAGAAAACACACACAGAGCGCTTAGGACGAAGCACTTGTATTGACCGCCGGGCCCGGCGCTGTTTTCTGTCCCCGCCCCCCCCCCCCACCCCTTGATGTCGGATGTCTGCCAAGCAATCTTCTCCATGGCCGACTTTCGAAGGCATGAGGCCAGCAAGCAAATTGCCTCTTAAATCTTTCCTTGCAGGCATGAGTGCCAAGAACATCCGGCCTTTCCTCATGGGACTTGTTTTCAGCAGTAATGTTGGAGCTTGGGTGACGTAGTCTTCTACGGACAGGTCTGAAGGAGCCCCTATGCATGCCCAATTCACCTCCAATGACAGCCAGGAAAAGGACGAGTTCACCAGACCCGTCTTAAGGTTTGGTTTGCAGAGCGGAGCAGCCATGAATCAGTCAGAAAACGGACTGAGATCAGAGGAAGGAAGGAAGAAGGAAGGACCGAACTCCTCGGCACCAGGCCAATTTACACCCAGAATCATCCACTACCCTTGGACGGGCTGGGCCTGTTTCCTTCCAAGTGCAGCCTGCTAAGGCAGGCGCCTTAGAATCTGGATCAGAACCAGAAGATGAGGCCCAGTCAGATTTCCTGGCTGAAGCAGCAAGGCCAGCAGGCGCAGAGAGAGCCCGAGAGGCCAGAGGGGGCCACGCCGGCTCTGCTTCTGTGGGGCGCTCCGTTGCGTAGATGGAGGCAGACGGGGTGGATGTAACGTGATCGGCCCCATCGTCCAGCATCAGATTGCAAGTTGTGGCTGATGCTTCCACCCATCTGGCCCACAAGCAGCGGGAACCAACCCGTGGGAGCTCCTTTGGGTTGAGAAGGGAAGAGGCAGGTTCAAGATGGAACCAACTTCTTAACATTAATCAGCGTTTCCCTAATATTTCAAACTCAGCTATGTCTCTTGTCAATGGCTCCCGAATGCTCTTCTTCTGTATCGCAAAGCCAGTCCACCCGGCCACTTTTTAACATAAGAAGCCTTTTGTCTGGATTTCACTTCCTCCACACAGCCACCTCCCCTCTTTTCTTTCCCAGCGGACATGCCCAGACTCGGGAAAAAAGAACCAAACCTCTCCTGGGAAGACTGTTGACCACCTTTCGATTGGATCTTTACCCCTCCGCTCCTGCCACAGTAAAAAATTCAAAAGCACACGGTGTGCATTGCAATGCTTTATTCAAAGGGCCCTGGGGGACCCGCGGAACATCTCAGGAAGAAAATCAGATTGGCACTACAAACAGCGAGATAAGGATCCGTCGTGCGGAGAGTCTCGCTCTTTGCTTACATCGTGGGCATCCAGACTCTTTCAGACCAAGGACCAAACGCAAGTTTAGAAAAGCTCAGAGGGACGAGCACATTCCAGTGGGAGTCAGAGCTGAAGGGAGGTGGAAAGAGGCTAAAGGGAAAAGGTCTGGGGCAAATTACAAGAAAATGCAAGGCTATTTTTGCTGAAAGCGCTTATTGCCACAAGAGGAGAGGCAAGTCAAGCATTTTGATCGAGAGGCGGGGAAAGCGGCATGACAGTCAAGAAACGGTTGCATTCTTGGTAGTCAGGCCAAAGGGGTGGAGCTGGCGGGCCTTAAATTCAACAGCCCTGCTTTGGGCCATTCATTCATTTGGGGAATCTAACCAGCTTTGCAGACAGAAAACAGGGAGGGCTTGGGAACAATATAACCCCTGATCTCGTAATTTAATGCTCTCCAATTAATGATGGGGTTGGAAGGAACCTGTTTGCTCCACACGTGGCACATTTCATCACCGGATAGAACCCGGTCCCACATATACACATCTGTGAGCTCCCCCACAAAGGACTGGTTGATGTCAAAGCTGCCCCCAAAAGAATCCTGGTCCTGCCCGAGGACAATGAATGCTTCTGCACTTACGGCGTGTCCTTTCATCAGGCCGTTTCGGGGCAGCGGCTGCCCATCTAGCCTGAATTCCACTAATCCCGTGTCGGAGTCCCAGCTCATGCAAATGTGCTCCCAGCTAGGCTTGGAGGTCAGCCGTTCGGGGAAGAGGAACAGCACGTCCTGCCCCCCCACGTAGAGGCTGTATTCACTGGGCTTGGATTTGAAGACCACAATTTCATTGTCGCTGGTCTCGGTCGCGTAGGAGAAGAGGGTGTGAGCACGGGTCATGTCCGTGTAGGATCTCAGGCAGACGGTGAAGCTGGTCAGACGCTCCCGAGAGGTGGCCTTCAAAACCACATGGCTAGTGTTGGACGATTCCGGGAAGACGAACACCTTTCTTTCAAGATCTGGGGGGGCGGTGTAGGGAGACAACAAAGATGTCTTTTCCCACGTGTGCACAAGCCACTGTCCTGGAGACCTGTTTCAGCACGTGTCAATCGCTTATCTCCAGACACACACAGAAATTAAACAATGGGAGATTCGGGCAAAGAAAACAATCCACACGGCTGAGTTGAGACAATCTGACAAACCATGGTTGGTTTTTACCGTTTTTGGCCTGTCATATTGTGTGAACCCAGTCATTGTATTCTGCCTTGGTAAGTCTGACCCTTTGGAACCACAATAGGAAGAAACAGTTTGTTCTCTGGTTTCTCTGGACTCACATGGCTTGGTGTGTCGCCTGAGCCCAAGATCGTGGCTTCCATGGTCCTGGCATGCAACTACCACAGAGTCCCCTGGGAAGAGCAGCAAATTCACGAGCCTCTCCAGCCATCCAGCCTCTATGTGCCAACCAATAAGGAAGAGACGGGAGACCAAGGCAGGTGGCAATGCACCTTGGGATTGAATTTCAGGCACAGTGGCTGATAGGGAGGCCAACAGAGGACCGGAGAATGGAACAGGGAGAATGGAAACCATGATAACGTCGAGAACTCCTAATCATCTGGGTGCATCATGGGAAGACCCATGAACTGTCGTCACCATGGAGTTGCTTGTCATGTTTTGTGAACCTTTCCTCTGAGCAGGAACCTCTAAGTGGATGGGTCTCAGCATAGAGGCAAAGGGTTACAAAGGGTCTTGTGAATGTGGAGGCTACGGAAGAAGGAGGGTTTAATGCGCCCCTCGCTGAAGCACAGCAAAAGCCCCCGATTTGCAACAGCCCTCTGACTCTTGGACAGAGCTGCATCTGCTCGGCCTTTACGTCTCACCCACCTTCTTGAGCAAAGGACCTCCGCAGGCTGACGAAGAGGAGGAGGAAGAGGTGAAGGGGCTCCATGCTGGGTTGGGCAGCAGGAAAAACAGAAGACAACCTGGTAAGGATGACCAAACAGATCTCGGGGGTACCTTGGTGAAGTCTTCCCTCAATGAAGCTCTGCTCAAGCCGTCAGGCACCTCAAACTTTCTCTGGCATTTATATCCGAACTGTGCGGAACCAGCAAGGGTTTCTATTTCATCCACTCCCAGAAGAATAATCCGTGACTTGGACAAAAATATTTTCCCCACCCCAAACTGGTATCAACTACCAGTTGCTTTTTTTGAAAAATTCCACCCAGCATGAAAATAATCTCTTTTGACCTGTTCAGTCTTCCTGGACAATTTCAGAAAAGGAATGCAAGGACAGAATGAAAATCTCTGAAGAGATGAGAGAGGGAAAGACTTAAAGGTGAAATTTTGCCCCCTTCCAACAAGGATTAACTACTTTGGGCTGCAATCCGACATCCACGTCCCTGGAAGTAAGCCCCACTGAATGCAATGAGCTTTACTTCTGAGTAGACACGCACTGGATGGCATTGCTGATTGATTGAAATGACTGAGGCTGGCAGAGAAGAATTGTTCAGTCTGCCCACCCCTTTGGTTCTCAAGCGATTTTAGATGGACTGGAAATCTCTCATCGCCTGAGAATGCAGGTTCTTCTGCAAGGAGCTTTCCCCAGGTGTGTGTGTGTGTGCACGCGCTTATTTAAAGCTTTTATAGACATCCAAAATAAACCAAGCTGCTTCTGGACCACCACTCCACATATGCTCAGAGAGAATGAGAGGGCATGGGGGGGTGCTTTTGAAAATGCGTCTTTTGTGTGTTGTGTGCTTGCAATCTCCCACCCATGGAAGTCTGCAGGGCGTCTTGTCTCCCCATACCTTTTCCATGCTTTCCAGCCATCTTTGCAGTTTTTTTGCGGCAAGGAAAGTCCAGCATTTTTGGAACTGGCATTATTATGAGTGCTGGAAGCCTGGTGTGTGTTCGCCACTCTGCTCTGCAGAACTGTGCCGGAAAGGGGAGCACCCAGAAAGGCAGAAAAGCAAAACCCTTGGGAAAAGGACACCTTGTGTGGAATGTGCCCACAAAGGCAAAGCATCTCAGTCATGTGGCGACTTCTGTGCCTCGTGGACAGAAGCCCAGAGAGAAAATGGAGTGATAGCTTCAGATTTTAAGGAAAACTGAGCAAGGGAAGAAGGGGATGACACCAACTTTTCTCGTCCACCCACCTGAACGCTTTCTTCAGTCAGTCTTTCAGGCAAAGCTCACACGAATGTTTAGCAATGCCTTGTTAACTGCCTCTTCTCAACACTGAGTCAATTTGTTCTCTGTTATCTGATTCCCTTAAATCAGTCCTTTCTTCAAATGAGAAATAAAACCAAAGACCCTCTTTTGCTTGCCAAAGCTGCAGAGCAGATTAGGAGACTTTATTAAATCAGTTTCTTGCCCCAGGGATAATCTTACTGCTTCGCATGTCCATCAAAACACCAAAAAAGAAGAAGAAGAAGAAGAAGAAGAAGAAGAAGAAGAAGAAGAAGAA